GGGCAAACCGGCAAAGCCGACCTCCCCTATCATGTTTTTTATGTGTATACCATGTACATACTCCGGCATATAATGCATTTTGTACAACAAAACCATACAAGCATTTTGCACATTGTCAATGAAGGCACGCATATTAGTTTTATAACTCTCAATGTATGTCCATTTCAGTGGGTACTACATGACTGGGGACACGAGGACTGTGTCAAGATACTAAAGAACTGCAAGAAATCTATTCCTCCGAGAGGGAAGGGAGGAAAGGTAATAATCATCGACATAGTGATTGGAGCCGGGCCGTCACACGTAAAGCACCGGGAGCTGCAGTCCATGTTCGACCTCTACATGATGATTGTCGATGGCATTGAGCGAGATGAGCAAGAGTGGAAAAAGATCTTCCTCGAAGCTGGGTTTAATGGCTACAAGATTATACCAGTTCTAGGGTTCAGGTCAATCATCGAGGTCTACCCGTAGAAGTGTTTTTTTTAGTATGTGTGGAGACATGCATGCTCATGAAAACCGAATAATGGTTTGGTTGATTAGGCCTGAGTTTCGGGTAAAAGTATGGTTATATGTTTCATGTAGCTGTTAATATCATGTATGAAAGCCCTAAAATACTCCCTCTCCCCGATTTATAGGGCATGTGTGTGTTCTTATGCCCTCTATTAGATAAAAAAAGAAGTATGTGTTCTATTTCACGAAAAGCATATAATTGAATTCATATTCAAACGCATTTCATATTTTCGTGGCATAAAACTCATATTTTGTTAGTCAAAGTACGCGAGTCTGTGGATCCTAAGAGCATACACGTCGTATAAACCCGGATGTAATACATGTTTCTGAAAAAGAAAGGACTTTGCACCGCTGCAAAATGTATCTATGCACAATTATTGTGGCGATGTATTGCGTTTCCCAAAGTCGTTTAGCTGTTTTGTTCGGTTTCAAGAACGCATGAGGAAAAAAATGGAATTGCTAAATCTCGGTTGAGACTTAACAAAGTCTTGGTCGCTGCTATATTCATGAGATCTTACATGGAGATCTGTGTAAAATATTCTTTTAATTATTTTCTTTATTTTTATATATTCCGACTGAGACTTCGTCAAGTCTCAATCTCAATGGAATGAGATCTAGGGGCCGTTTGCTTTACGCCCGAGATGGCCACGCCAAATCAGGGCGAGCCAATATTTTGGTGCAGGAATCGGCCGCCTTGGTTTCGCCCGTGTGTGGGCGTGAAATCTGAACCGTCCGATCAAAATATTGGCGTGGTCACGGGACTTGAGCTCTGATCCAAACGCTACTCCCTGCAATCAGTCAACGCCAAAATTTTGGTGTGGCAACCGTCGGCCACCATCCAAACAGCCCCTAGTCACAACCAAAAAATAAGACATGGAGAACACAACAAGTAGGGACGTGTTTGGTTGCCCGCATGAGGCTCAGCCTGGCCCGGGCGGGAAGAATTTGGCCTGTTTGGTTTCCTGCATTCACTGTGCGGCCCGCATCGCACGAAGCTTAAAGCACGTCCAAACCAGGCCCAGGGGCAACGCACGAATCGGCAGTAGCTCGTGAGCCTGGCCAAGGCGAGGCAAAGGAGGGCGACGCGCTTCTCCCCTCGTGCGAGCAGCGGAGATGGCGCGAGCTCGCCCGCGTCGCCGAAAAATCAGCGGGAGGATTTCGGCTCACCTCCCGCCGCTCCACCCCCTATTTAGCCCCTCCCTCACCGCCCCAACTCCCGCCACCATTCTTCCTCCGTTCGAGCTTTCCCGCCGACGCGCATCAGCACCGACGAGCAGGTAAGCGGTGCATCTTCATCGGCCGGTTGTCCACGGCGTCGGAGCTCCTTCACCGGCCGGCGTTCATCTTCCACCACTGTCCCCCCTCGTCCTCAAGCTGCAGCCATGGCCTCTGTGAGTTCAATCCTCCTTTCTCTCTGTTCCTTCTAGCTAGATCTGAGCTGCAGCTAGGGTTTGATCTAGATGCATGGTTGATTAGTGGTCTGATCTGTGAGCTGATATGGTTGGTTGCTATGCTGCGGTTACAATTTGTGGTAGGGCTAGATGTTCAAGCGTGTGGTAGGCTAGATTAGTAGTAGAGTTTGAAGTTGAACCTTGTGCTTGTGTTGAATCATGCTCAGATCTGTGATTTGTAGCTATTGGTGGTCATGTGCTTGCTATGATAGTGATGAACCATGTACATGTATGCTTAGTATGATAGTGATGAAGCATGTGCTTGCTATGATCGTGATGAACCATGTACATGTATGCTCCTGCTTTCATGGATTGTCTGGTATGTTGTGTGCTATGCTCACTGTCAATGCATGCTACGATTGTAGGACATGACCACGCAGATGCAATATCTTAGTCAGGCCCTTGTCGTGTTCGACAGCCAGTTTGCTCCATCGTTTGTCGAGGACTCGCAGCCTATGTCCGAGATGGCACCTGATTCAGAGGTGTTCGAGTCTGATTCCCTCTATGTGCCAGTAGTGCTCGTTGAGCCAACTACTGCTGCTGCCGCTGCACTCAAGCTAGCAGCAACAAAGGCAAAGAAGGATGGTAGGTCGAACAACATGAAGTGGCAATCGTTCATGTCCACGTTCGTGCTAAACAAGATGTGTGAGGTCATCTCTAGTGGAGTTAGGACTGACAAGGGCTTCAAGGAGGTGCACTTGAACACCGTTGCGAAGCAGGTGTTCGAGTTCTGTGGGCAAGAGGTGTCTGCCACCCAGGTGTACAACCACCTGAGGAAGTGGAGAAATCGATGGATCCAAGTGTCCAAGCTGAGAGACCTTAGCGGCGCCTCATGGGATGAGAACACTTGCTCCATAGTTCTGGAGGTAGAGCACTACGCCGGCCATGTCCCGGTTAGCTCACAGCCCTCTTCCTTTTCATACTGCCCACCATTGCCTACTCCTAATCGCAACTAACAACACTTGTGTTTCATTCTTAGGACCACCCAAGGGACGTTGAGTTCCTCAACACACCCATCCAGAACTACAACCAGATGCAGCACATCTTCTCCTTCGGGCTGGCAACTGGGAAGCATGCCATGGGCTCGGGGGAGCCTCTTGGTTCTCCCATGCCTGACTTCCCTGGGACCCCGGACGTCGAGATCCTTGATGGCCCTGACAAGCCCGCTGCGAAGCCCTTCGACAAGCCATTTGACCCCGTTGATAGGAAGAGGAAGAGAGGAGGCCTGATAAAGGAGGAGATCAATGTCTTCTGCAGCATGACTGAGGCGGTGAAGGAGGTGGCAACAGCCATCAGGAAGTGCAAGCCCCTCGACGTCCACCTTGACCTGTATGGCGTTGTCATGACCCAGGGTGGCTTCAGCGACGAGGCTCTCATGGCAGCTCTCAGCCACCTACTTGACAACAAGGCCCAGGGTGTTGGGTTCGTTGCCATGACCGACGCTCACAGGGTGCTGTGACTCAGGAGCTGGCTGGGCAAGCACTACTACTAGAGTAGTGCTGCCTGTGAGCGTGCATGATCCCCGACGGCAATGGTGGTGGTGGCGACGACGACGACGATGACGACGTACATTTTGTGTAGCTAGGGCTCAAAAACTATTTGATGGTCTGTATATTTTGGTGGGGTGGTATATACTAACCCTGCACGGTGACGGTGAACTTGCGGTGGTAGGACAACACCCTCTTTTGGATGTGGCGGTAGGTTAACACCAAGGTAGTGCTAGGAAGAACTGTCGTATGATCATGCATGCTTTACTTCTCTTCTGATTCATTGTTGTTTATGTACTACTTTGCTTGCTACTTGTGCTCCATTGATTTGCTGCTTCAACTCTTGCTCTTGTGCATTGCTAGGGCAAGTGGTATGCCGTGTTCATTGGTGAGGTTCCAGGGGTTTATAGTCCATGGAAGAAGCCAATGCACAAGTGGCATCGTATAGCAACGGCAACTATAGAGGGTTCAAGACTAAGCAGGCAGCAGAACAAGCTTACTCCGCCTGGGTGCGAAAGCACGGAGGCAGTAGTGTCAACAGTGCCAAGGTTGGAGCTGTCAAAGTGGAAGCTGCTAAGGTGGATCGTCAGTTCGGCCTAAAACTGAAGAACTTCATCATCTTTGCACAGTTCGTCACCATTGCTGTGTTGTGGCGTTGGTGTGTTAGGTGTGATCATTGTGGGTAAGCTCACCAACTAGAGTACAAGGTAAGCACAACATGTACGACGTATGCAACCAAACGTCGTGTTCATGAGTCGCTAGGGCCAATGCAGCCAACCTAACAAAGTGCACTTGCGTATTACTAGATGCAGGGACTAGGGATACAGGCAACCAATCAAGTTGCATATGGCGTATTAGGGGGACACGGCTAATCTGCACCCGAGCTCATGCTCCCGCATGAACAGTAAAATCGAAAAAAAATTCAAAAAATTCCAAATTTTTTTTGAAAGAAACATTGACAAAAGTTCTAAGTGCCTGCAAAAATTCGTCATGAAATCACATTCCTAGAAGGCGTGGCAGAAAAAACAAAAATAGTACTCTAAAAAAGCTACTTTCAAATGCATTTTGAAGCACTAAATTTGTTTTTTTTGCCACGCCTTACAGGAATGTGATTTCATGATGAATTTTTGCAGGCACTTAGAACTTTTGTCAATGTTTCTCCCAAAAAAAATTGGAATTTTCTGAATTTTTTTTGATTTTTTTCGATTTTACTGTTCATGCGGGAGCATATGAGCTCGGGTGCAGAATGGACTTTTCGGTATTAGGGCCTGTTTTCCCTCAACCAGGCTAGGTTGAGAAGAGCATGTAATGCGACTACTGTTCAAAACTGGAACCAAACACGCCCTAGTAGCATCAGGTTCCCCGCTCACGCAGGTGTTCAGAAGGTGACGACTCATAAGAAGCATCAAGATCCACGCAAGTGAATGTCAAGTAGAGTAGAATCTACTGCTAGAATTTAAGAGTGGCCTAGGTGAGAGATTACAGATGGCGTCCGTCTTCAACCAACGGAAAACCAATTGTCCGATACTACAACGTACGCAACTGAGCAGCACCATCACATCCCCAGGGGAGCGGCGACGATGGCATGCAGAGCGCCGGGAGCAGGGTGGCCGCGCCCAAACAAGTCGAGCACCCGCGGGTCGGCGCACTCCGCCACCACATCATCCGCGTCCCCTTCCTTGGCATCACCCTCACCTGCTCCTCCCAGCACCTTCTGATCAGTCAGGGAGAACCCAAACAGCCGGCAGTTGCTCCGCCCGACGACGTCTCCGGCGGCCGCCGGTCTGGCCCTGCCACCGTCAGCACTCGCCGGAGTCGAGGCCTTTATCCATTCTTCGAACCGACGGCACCCCGTCCCCGTCACGCTTGGCGTCCGGCGCTGTGCGCACGGCCAGGCCTCCTCCGTCTCCCTCGCCATCTCCATGGCGGGAGGACACTGGCCGCCATACGCGCCTCTGTAGCTGCTGGCTCTGCCTTCCAAGTCGAACTGCGGGACCGTCGCCTGGTTAAACATCAGGACGGAGGAAGGAGAGGACACTTTCGCCGCCGCCGCCGCCGACGGCGTGAACTGCCCGAGAGCATAGCCCTGAGCTGCAGGCGACAGTCCACCCGGCGCAGCTGATCGTTGCGCGTAGCCGAACGGGCCGACGACGCCGCCGTGCTGCGCGCGGGCGTCAAAAGCAGTTCCTTGGTAGAAGCGAAGTGCTTGAGACATTTCTTGACCTTGCAAGACCTCTGGGAACCTGAGGGATTCGCCGAAGCCTGAGGAATGGTAGGGAAACTCCACCGGGCTCTGCTGCGGGATGTACCTCCGCGCATTCGCGGAGAACCGCTGGTGATCCGGAGTTCGAAACTTTGCGACGTCGGGCGACTGGGAGCGCGCAGCGCCATGAGCCCTAGAGCCCATCAACAATTCTTGACCTTGCAAGACCCTGTGGAAGCTTCCAGTTTCCACTGAGTCCGGATAACCATTTCCATCTGCAAGTTTGGTCACAGGGTTAATTCGAAAAAGACACAATGAAGCTAACATGTATCAAAACAGATGTCTGAGTCATGCTGCAGGACCTACCGGTAACTGGAGCATCCAAATTGCCTTGAGGAAAGTACAATTTGGCTCGCTTCGAACTGGATGCCGACAGACAATCAGTAACTGAGATTGAACCACCAACTCTCTCAATCTCCCACGGAGAAACCCTGCGTTGGTGGTTGCAATGGTTACCATCATCCCATCTTACCTGTAAAACATGAAAACAAAGCAACACTTCACTTCAGCAGAAATTTGAGGACCACAACTGTATCTAGACGTATTTTAGTTCTACATACATACATTTTTATCGAGGACAAGTTAAGGGGCTGTTTGGTTTGGAGCCTGCGGACGCCACGCCAAAACATCGGCGTTGACCAAGGGCAGGGCTCCCGTTTGGTTCGGAACCAATTATTTGGTCCGCCGGGGCTACATGGGCAAGTGCAGTTCATTTTTTCGCCAACGCAGGGCCAAATCGCGGGCGGCCGGATGGTGCGCCAATTTTTTGGCGAGCCCGCAGTTTGGTAGGGCCAGCATGGGTAGCATCCAAACGCACCCTAAATGCATCTGTGGTTATAGTTCACAAACGGGAACTCCCTAAAAGTTATGGATATTTTCCATTTTCAGGTCAATGATGTTATGACTTTGAATCAGAACTCAGATAGGGATCTGATCACAGCAATGGCAACCCATCACCTAAGTTCAAGTTTTGAAAAGAATTTTACTTTGATGGAGGACAATTCAAAGTCTTAGACCAAAAAAATGACGAAAGTGCTGTTGCTCATTGTAAATACAAGATCCGGTTTTGGACAGTTGATAGGGTTAATATTTTCTCTAATATTTCATTCAACTTAGCTTCTACCAGCCTATCATAACGGTTTCCATGTTATGCACCCTATACCTTGTTCACTGTTATATAACTACCTGGTCCAAGTGCTATCGCAAATACAGAAAGTGCACTCAGTCAATTCTAGAAAGAGAGCTACCTAGTCTCTGAAATACTGAAAAATCAATAGTGAGAGAAGCTCATTTTACTAAGAGTTGGAATTCCAGTCTTTATTTCAGGAGAAACAGTGGCAAGTACTTCTAGAACACGACAGTCAATGAACATAGAAGTGAAGAACCTACAAGCCAGAGTTGAGAACCATAACTAGTATCTTAGTCACATGTATACCTGTAGGCATCTCCATTTTGATCCAGGCCATCTTATGGGGTCAACTTCACTAATACCTGAAATCAATCCAGTAGACCTGCAGAACAAAAATGAAAATTCAACAACTGATGTACAAAAATGCAATTTTCAGTGAGCTAAAAGGACAGACCTCTCATTTGCATCATCACTCTCATTGGAATCTTTAAATCTCATTCCAATGGAAAACGAATGGTTCAAGCTCTTAGAGAACCTCCAATATGGCACAATAAATTCTGATGCACCACTCCTGCGGAAGGATGAGAAACTGGAATTATTTAGGTCACTAGCTGTTTTATAATACTTAAAAGGCGTAGTAAAGCACAAGACTGAAGCACCATGAAGACAAAAGGACCATCAAATTGCAAAGACAGAATATATGCATAGCCCAAGTGAATAATCAGAACTTCCTAACTTAATGTGCATTGACAGACAAACCTTGGGTCGAAACAAACATGGAAAATACTTCTATTTTCCAAGGAACTGGCAACAGCAGATAGTGTGTGCAGCTTTGATTCATTACTGTTGACAGCTTTAAAAAGGGCTTCATTTCTAAGCTGAACTGCTCTCCGTACACCCAATCTTAGTTCACCATCATCACCTCTGTAAAAAAAAGAATGTCTATGGCATTGACAAGAATGTAGAAAACATACAAAGCATTAATTCATTAAATTGCCAGATGCTTACCGAAGAAATAAGACTGCATCCCCGGAGACTAGTTTTTTCTTGTTGACAAACGAACTCCAGCCTGTTGTTAGAAGATGCCTACGAGGTTGACCTGGAATTTCAGACAGTATTACCGCGCATCAAATTGCGAACCAAGTTGAGAGAAGGTGAAATAAACATATTGGACAATGCTAGTAAAATGAGTAGTAAGTTACTGAAGATGACGTTTAACACTTAAATCCATTGCCCAAGAACTTCAGGCGTATTAAGTAGGTCAAAACAAGGAACAAACTCACTAAACGCGACTAGAAAATTGATCACACTAGGATCTCAGATAAAATAAAACAAAAGCTAGCTGACCTATCAAGAGAAATGACAACAAGAGCCTAAGGAGTCACAGATGGGGGCATAATTTCACTTTCATAATTTAAGTCGGCAATGAAGAAAGGGAAGACAAATTACCATTTTCATACTACAAAGTACTAACAGAAACTTGATGACACCTTGAATTGCCCACCTTACTCGTCTAATGACTTGAATTCCAAATGCAACCACAATAATCAAGCTAACTGATTTCATAACCAGATTTGATACCCTAAATTCGGCCTTTATCAAAGCATATGCAGCAAGCATAGCAGTTTTTTTTTTACTTTCCACGCAAAGCATGAAGGTATATGAATATCGCAACAGCAACCGCAAAATCTCCAAGTAAACATGACATGTTACACACCTCTATAAATATGGCGAAACCTCCATTGCGTGCCATGCAAATCCTTGGCAACGAGCTCTTGAGAAGGCCTAACCTGCTTGTAGTCCTGCAAAGAATTGAAGAGATTAAAGAGGTGAGATCAGCAGCACAAGCGACTATACGAATGTGCAGGTTTAGATTTTTTTTTCCAAGCGCCTTACCAAAGGTGCGAAACAGTCCTCGGCCGCCCGGCGAGGAACGGAGAAACCTCCATGCGTGCTCGTATCGGAGGCAGTGAGGGTCTTGCAGAACATGTGAGGCATACGGGGCTTCTTCTCTCCGTCACCACCCGCCATCCCGTCTTCTCCCTCTTCGGATGCAGACTCACGGACGTTTTGTCTGAACATCTGAAGCACAGAAGAGGAACACTTACACAGAGCAATGAATGGCATTTTACCTTGTTTGCAAGTTCGCAGGTATACTACTCCATTGCAAGCAAAATCGTAATAACTACGTGCCATCTGTAGTTATGCTTACGGTTTTGGCAGGACCGGTGTATTCATGCTCTCATGTACTACGTACTACTATGATTTCTTTTTTTGGAGGAAAACAAGTGTACCTTCCCCAAGGTCACAATGAAAGCCTCACATCCAGAAGCAAAAGATGAAGAGGAATTAAGCAACGATTTATAGTACAGTAGAAACTGATGCCAGGGTGAGCTGGTAAGGAAACAAGGATGCATGGGAGCCTGGGAGGCGATGTTCGTGTTTCAGGTTCCGACATTTCACTGCCGAAAACAATGATGCAGGAGAGATAATGTTCATGTTTCAGGCTCCAACATTTCACTGTCGGAAATCATACTGGTGATGCCAACTCTCTACGCTCCGACGAACCAAATGCATATGGAAAAGGGGAGGAAACGACTGACATAGAACAGCAACAGCCGAGATCCCCAAATGGAAATGGAAATGGAAGCGAACGACAGTAAGATACTGAAGGAGGAGCACTGACCTCGGCGTCCGCCACCAGCGCGAGGCGCGCGTACACCTCGTCCGTCGCCGCATCCGCCTGCAAGCGCACCACGAAAATCACGCCATCGATCGATCAGGAGGCTTCGTTTCAGAGGTAGAAGAAGAAGCGGAACGGCCGGACGCGAGGATGGCAAGGGGACTCACGCATAGCTCGACGCCGACGACGCGGCACGCCACGTGGGGCGGCACGCGCGGCGCCCCGGCCGGGGCCGGCGCCGGGGCCGGGGCCTCCCCGCCGCCCGCCGCGAGGTGCGCCTGCGGCAGGTAGACGACGGCGCTCCCGCGCCTGGGCAGCGCCACGCCGGGCCCCGCGCACGCGTGCCACAGCTCCCCGCACACGCCGACAGCCGCCTCCCCGTCCTCCACGCTGTTCAGGTCGATCCCCATCGGTCGGTCGGTCGCTCTCCCCCCAAAGCTAGCTAGCTAGCTAGACCAACCCCCGCCGCGTTAATGCCGTCGCAGCGCGGTGGATGGCGGCGCAGAGGAGCGAGTTATGGTGCTCGCCCCCACCGTGGTCTCCCCCGGACGCTGCGGCGGTCGCTGTGCTCGCTCGCTCACTGTAGCCGGCTGCTGGCCTGTGCCGTGCCGCGGCGCCTTTATGGCGATGGGGGCCTCGAAAGGCGCCCGGGCTTGGCTCGCCCGCCGGCCTTTTCCGGTGGTCTTTGTTTGCTTGCCCCGCGTCGGGTTCCGCGCTTGGATGGATGGTCTCGGCCGGGGTCCGGTCGGGTTGTGGCTGCCGCTCCCTCCCTCCACTGTTCCCGCACAGCAATAGAGACAGAGGGGGGTGGCTCCCTCGGGCCGCGCGTCGGGGCAAAGAGAGAGGCAAAGGTTGCTTTCGTGGGGGTGCGCTGCGCTGCTTGTCTATTTGCGCCTGCGCTGTGCGTGGCTTGTCTCAGGGGGCGTGGAGAGGCCCGGCAGTGTCGCTGTCACGTGCTGCCGCAAATGTGCATGCGTGCGCCACAAATTTAAAGGGCCGGTCGTCGCAACTCGATTCGAACTGAGCAAAGGGCGAAAGGCGCTCCTGCTGCTAAAGGAATGCACTCTCTTTACTTTACTGAGGAAGGTAACCAGTTCAGTTCAAAAAATGTACTCTGTTGCTAGTTTAGTCATCTAGGCAGTGATTAGGAGCACCGAATGTTGAGAAACATTGGAGTGTAGTGCGTACTAGGTTAAACAAAGTATGAAAACACATGCCTCCACGTGAAACCGGGAACCCAAGACGACCGCCAAAGTCATTGTTTACGTGGAAAAACCCTGTCACACGGAAGGGAACGGCACGATTGTTTCACGTGGCCAGAGAAACGGAGAACCACCACCGGCACGGCAAGTCAGCAACACAACAGCGAGGGCAAACGGGTCCGTCCGTCCGTCGACGGCCAATCTTGATGACACCGGGGCCCGCCACTCCACTGGTCCCCGGCGGCAGCCCGCCCGTGGTCGTGTGGGGCGGAGCGGCGCGACAAGAGAGCCCGGGAATACAGCCGAGCGCGGCCTCCGCGAGATTCCCCGCCCACTTTTTCCTCGCTCCCCCACCCACTCCTTTCTCACCCCCCTCTCTCTCTCTCTGTGTCTACAGCGGTCCAGGCAGACAGTGCAAAAAGATCGCGCGAAGCAGGGAAATCAATCAACCACGAGGCGACGTGCACAGCAGTCGGGGAAGGCGTCAGCACTCACCACACAGGAGAGGGCCCGTCACGTCCCACGGGGACCCTCCCTCCTCCGCCTTTAACTCGGCAGCACGGCGCGGCCAGCGGCTCAGCCGGGCGCCCCGAGCGGTCGCCCGCCGATCTCCACCCCTCCCGCTTTCCCCCGTCGCTCGTGCCACCCTCGCCGAAAGCCGCCGCTGCATGCCGTGCGGCCGAGCGGCGACACGGCGTGTCATCTGACTCTCATGTGAGCCCATGCACGCGCGTGTGGGCGTAAGGCCAACTCCGGCGCGTGACTCCATCCTGTTCAAATGCGTCTGTTTGGCTAAAACGAACATACCAAACGACTCAGCGTGTGGATATAAACGGACTTTTGTTTGATTTTTGTCCACTTTTGACTCATCTCCGGCTAAAATTTGAGCTGTTTTAGAGCATCTCCAACAGGGGTTGGACGCGCGGCGCGCAAAAAACAGATTTGCCACGCTCGCATCGCCAAAAACAGATTTACCGTTTGGGTAAAACGGACATACCAAACGGCCTAGCGCGCGGACACAAATGGACAATGTCTGTTTTTTGTCCGTCTTCGATTCATCGCCAACTCAAGTTTGACCCGTTTTTGAGGTGAAACGGACAGCGCGCGAACAGGCGGACTGTGCGCGCGTCCTCCCCTGGCCCGCCCGTCGGTGGCACAAGGATCCCTTTTTTTATCCGCCCCCCTTCTCCTTTCAGGCGCACCCCATCCACTCTTCTTCACTCTTGCCCCTCGCCACGGCCGCCGCCACTGCCATTGCAGTTGTCCAGCTCGGATGTGCACTCGCCCAACCCTTTTTCCCTCGATGCACCCGAGCTACCCAACAACGGCCACCTGATTTGCGCACCCGACGGCCGGATTTCGAGCGGATCCGGTTAGGTTTGAGCTCGTCCGGCTGTGGGAGGCCGTGTTGTGCCATGGACTGGCCGGGCACCGGACCGGAAGGCCCCAGCAAGGCCGCATGCAGGTACTGACTCCGCCTCTAGCCGCTCGGATCTACACCATCGACGGTCCGCCGGTAGATAGATGAACGGCGGTTGGCCGGGCTCGGTGCTGGCCAAAAAGCTCGTCGGCGCGCCGTCGCCACTCATTAAGTGCGACGATTGCCCGAAGAAGGTCTTGCGCCGCATGTCTACAACGCCGGAATATTTCGGATGGCTGTTCATCAAGTGCTCAACCGATGGGGTATGTGCTATTTTAGCTTCATTTGTGCTCTCGGATTTAACTAGTTGTGCTAACTTAAAATTATATTGTGTAGAATGGATGCAATTTTTGATATTGGGAAGAAGATTACATCGATATATTGATAAACCGCAATTTAGTAGATGTTCGTGCACTTTTAGCTGGCATAGAGGCTAGAGATGGGACTAATGCACTTGTTGCTAGAATAGATGCTAGACATCAGACTAGATGCGAGGACGCAATGTCTACTTCTCTAGACTTGAGGAAGAAAGAAGCACGCAAGATCGAGCCTCCGCGGCTCAACAATAAATACATCGAGAAGGCATTAATCTAACTTAAGAAAGCAGTTATGGAAGTTGGTCATCTTTTAAAATGTCTTTTTATGGTTGTTGTGTTCTTCGGTCTTGCTATTCTAGTGAAAATTTGATGATGTGCTGCCATGTATGTATCAAAAATCAATGTCGAAAATAAAAGACATGTGTGTGCGAAAAAAAATTGTATGCGCGCGAGATGCGACCGCGCGTTGGACGGCCGTCCGCTACATCCACAAACCCGGGCGGACATGGCCTCATTACCATCCTCAAACGAACGAAAAACGAACAAAATGGACGTTTCGTTTGGGGTCACGAGTTGGAGTTGGCCTCAGCCGGGCGCTCGCAGCGGTTTCACCTTCGCCCGTGGCTCCCGAGCTCGCCGAAAGCTCCTGCACGCCGTGCGGCCAAGCGGCGGGTTTGCTACGACGCGGCGTGTCATCTGACTGTCATGTGTGTGAATTCTCATGTGTGCCCATGCGCGCGCGCGTGAGGGCGTGAGGCGTGGGCGCTGGCTTTCTCTCTCGTGTTGGCGCGTCGGGTGACAGGACGCGGGGGGGAGCAGAGCGGAGCGGGGAGAGGAGGGAGGGCTCGGCTTTCCCGGGGGGCGTGTCGACCGCGTACTCGCTATGCTCTGACGAACGCCGCTGCCTCTGACTCGCTGACGCTCTGGGGGGTTCACGTGCCCTGCCCTGCCCTGCCCGGCCGGAAAGACGAGGGGCGACTGCCCAGCCCCAGGCTTTGCTGCCACTGGACTGGCTGGCTCATCGGATGCCGCCGCTGTTCACCGGTCAAATGCGACAGTGGAGTGTGCCACAGTGCTTGGATACTGGTTGCAGCCGCTGCTGGCCGGGCCGGTGACGCGACGCTGGTCATGAAGAGTGGTGGGGTCCGTCTCCGTGCCGGTGAGTGGCCCTCGTGGTCTCGCCCGAGTCTGGATAAGCGAGGCAACCGGGGCGTCTATGGCCAACAGTGGCAAATTTTCGTGTTTTGACCCTTTTCTAAAAGGGCACCGATAGGCGCCGGTGCGCCGGCTGAATCGTTCGGCCGGTCCAGCCCGGACCGTTCGATTTGAGCCACGCAGCCGCTGGATCCCAAGCAAAAAAAAAACGAATCGCCCCAAGCTCTCTTCTTCCTCGGGCAGTCAGTTGGATCCCGTTTGGGGGAGCGCGACGCCGCGCCTCCTGTCCCCTCCGGTGGTCGCCGGTCCCCACCCTCGCCGGTCTTCCTCGTCGCCGCCGGACCCCCACCCTCGCCGCCCGTCCTCGTCGCCGATCCCTGCCCTCGCCGCCCGTCCTCGTCGCCAGTCCCCGCCCTCGCCAGCTGTCCACGTCGCCAGTTCCCATGCAACAACTCCACCTGCGTTGCAGCTCTTGACGGCGACGGTTGTGGCTCGGCCGCCGCCCCTCGCCATTGATGCTCGCCGTAGGAAATTATATCGACGGCGACCGTCAGTCAATCAACACCGTTTTGAATGGATGTAGCAAAAAACTTCACCCGTAGTAGCGAAAGTAAACTACGGTTGCAGCAAAAATCAAACACCGTCGCCGTCTTTCGCGAGGTCGCGACTCCGCCTTACATGGATGTAGCAAAAAGCTTCACCGATAGAAGCAAAAATCTACTACGGTTGCAGCAAAAATCAAACACCGTCGCCGTCTTTCGCGAGGTCGCGACTCCGCCTTACATGGATGTAGCAAAAAAGCTTCACCGATAGAAGCAAAAATCTACTATGGTTGCAGCAAAAATCAAACACCGTCGCCGTCTTTCACGAGGTCGCAACTCTGCCTTACATGGATGTAGCAAAAACTTCAGCGGTGGTAGCAAAATTCTACTACGATTGCAACAAAAAATCGTCGTTGTCATCGTCGTGAGGTCGCAGCTCCGCCTGATGGATGTAGCAAAAACCTTCGCCTGTAGTAACAAAAACCAACTACGGTTGCAGCTTCCCCTTATTATGCAGTTTCATTGAAGCTTTTCTGTCTATGGTTGAAGCTTTTTTCAACAGCTGTTGAAGCTGTTCTAGGTGACGGTTGCAACACTAGTATACGCGGGCTGCATCCAGCCATGGCGGCAGGCAGCCATGGCGGCCGGCGAGGGAGCGCCTGGTCGCCGGCGATGGAGGTTGTGGTCGCCCAGTCGCAGCCCGGGGG